TTTGCTTAAAGGGGAGTTCATCGTTTCCTCATATTCTGATCTCTAGACGATTTTCTCTCTCTTCATCACTGTTATCTCTCCTCTGGTAAGTACAATCTGTTTTTCATTGTCCATTGCAAATCATATCCTCTTTTTCTCTTTTTTATTTGAATTATTTTCGTTCCTCAATCGATCACTACCCTCGTAGCAAACCCTAATTCCGTAATTAGTTTTTTTAGTTTTTTAACCTGTGTTTTCTGCTGCAGAATTATTGCCATGGCTAAGAGCTCATTCAAGATGGAACACCCACTTGGTTCGCTTCTCACTTTACTTATTTAATTTTATTTTATTTTTAAACCGTTTCTTCAATTTTTCTTATATGGGATAGTTCATTTTTATGCGGGATTTGAACTTGAAAGTTGGGATTCTCGTGTAGTAGTAGTCTAAGGCATTTGGATTTTCATACATAGTCTTTGTAACTTTGTTATTTGGGGTTTAATTGGGATGCAAAATTTGTACTTTTGAGCCCCATTATGTGTCCACCCTTGAAAAAGGTACTTCTTAATAGAAATTTAAGTAAATACCCTTCTTGGTCCTCAACAAATTTCATGATGCCCGCTTTAGTCCCTAGTAAATAAAAAGGCTATTCGCAGTCCCTAAGAAATTCAAAATGGACCCATTTAGTTGAAATCATGGTCCCTCACAAATTCAAAAAAGACCCACATTAGTCCCTCAAAAGTATTAAAATGGATCCATTTTGAATTTCTTAGGGACCACGAATACCATTTTTATTTGCTAGGGATTAAAGCGGGCATCGTGAAATTTGTTGAGGACAGAAAATGATATTTACTCTATAAATTTTTACTCAATCCAGTGTCATTGTCTTGTGCTGACTTTTTTTTTTTTTTTTTTCCCTTTTTATTTAGTTTAGTATAATGACCTGAGTTATAGCACTTAAATATAATTTCTTTGCTTTTGTTAGTTCGTATCATGTGTTGTCCTTTATTTTTGGGGTTTGGATTTCTATATGATCTGTTGCTTTACTTCCTGCGAATTGGGTCTGTTGATAGTGAGTTATGCCCTGTTTTATTCCTTCACCTCCATGGGCTATCTCATTGTTTCGTTATCATGGTGAAATATAAAAGCTCTTACTATCGACTAAGATCATTCTTCAGTGCACGTAAACTTTTATTTGTTTTAGCCGTTAGGTGATTTAAGTTCAACATTTGTTCTCTAATTTGTACAAACATTACATGCCAGAAAGGAGGCAGGCTGAAGCAGCTCGTATAAGAGACAAGTATCCTGATAGAATTCCAGTAAGACCTGCTTTCTGCCGTGTGCATAGATCATTATAATATCATTTCTTGCTTATTTGTTTGGTTGATCTTTTGGATGTAGGTAATTGTTGAAAAGGCAGAGAAGAGTGATGTTCCTGAGATTGATAAGAAAAAGTTAGTTTCTTTTATTCTTCTGAAAGTGCAATTGTAAATATTAGTACAGTTTATTTATTCCAAATTTCTTTAATAAGTATTATTACTTGTTTCACGATTACTTTCTGCATAAAACTTATCCTGCTTTATGTGGTTAAAGTTTTGAATGTAAGATAGTTTTTGCTTTGAAATTTGAAAATTATAGACACTTGAAGTAACTTTCACTTGGACTTGAGCCATCATGGTTATATTTTCTCTAGGGTTTGGCTTAAACCTGTCTAAGTTTTGAGTATTTTCTGTATATGGATTTGGCATCAAATTAAAATGTTCCTAAGCTAGCTGACCTTATTACTCTTTGTATTAAACATGGTAAATAGAAGCACAATTCTTGTGTCATGTTCTTTTGTTAAAAATACTATTTTAGGATTAGATGGGAAAATGATAAAAAAAATATCAAAAACAGTATTGTGATCCGAATTGGAGAAAATAAAGATCACTGTTATGCTAATGGCACCAATTATCTTTTGAGAAATAATGACAAGAAGTTCAGTACGTTTGGGTATTTTTAACACAGTAAGCAAATGAACAACAACGATACTATCACCTCTATTGAATATAATGTGTTGGGAAAACAATCCCTTACAGTACTGACAGGAAATAATAACAAGTTTCTTCTGCTATACTATTAGGACACTGTCCCTTACAATTAACGAAGACATCTCTATCACAAATTACCCAGAAATACAAGACGATCAACGGCCATTTACAGACTCCATGAATATAGCATTCATGTTCATCCAATTACATACTCTCCCATATCCTCCTACCACACTGAACCACCAAGTCCAGGTGCTACCTCTACCCACAAATTCCAGAAGATGCCCCCCATTTACCTCTAACCGTCTCTCTTATGCCTCACTCACCACAGCCCCCTCTCCCACATGGCTTTCTCCATTCACAGCGTTCCACGTGGCCTCTTTTGTAACTGATTGCTGTTTGTGGCTTTCTTCCTCTGCCTGGCTGCTTCTCCTCTCATTTGGGCTCGTACCATCAGATTGGGACTTTGGTGTCTCCTTCCATTTGGGCCTTGGCTTTCCTGCGTTTATAATATTTATTAAAAGGTATCAGAACATCCATCACGTGGAGTTGTGCGTGGGGTCACGCACTAGGGAAGCGTGGTGGAATGTTGGGTTCCATTTGCTAGGCATGGGACTTGGAGTCCCACATTGGTTGTATGGGCAACTAATGTGGGGTTTATAAGGCCTTGGGCACTCCCACCTTTTGAGCTAGCTTTTGAGGTGGTGCATCCCAAGGTCTCATCAAATGGTATCAGAGCATCCATCACGTGGAGTTGTGCATGGGGGCACGCACTAGGGAATCGTGGTGGAATGTTGGGGTTCCGTTTGCAAGGTATGAGACTTGGAGTCCCACGTTGGTTGTATGGGCAACTAATGTGGGGTTTATAAGACCTTGGGCACTCCCATCCTTTGAGCTAGCTTTTGGGATGGTGCATCTCAAGGTCTCATCAAATGGTATCAGAGCATCCATCATGTGGAGTTGTGCGTGGGGTCACGCACTAGGGAAGCGTGGTGGAATTTTGGGTTCCATTTGCAAGGTATGGGACTTGGAATCCCACATTGGTTGTATGGGCAACTAATGTGAGATTTATAAGGCCTTGGGAACTCTCACCCTTTGAGCTAGTTTTTGGGGTGGTGCATCCCAAGGTCTCATCATATGCTGAATTATGTATGTAGATTCTTTGTATGTAAAAACTAAAATCAGTCTAGTTTGATCATACAGTGACAGTGGGGTTTTATCAAGGCTTAGGTGTAAACAATTGAAAGTTTCAGAATGTTGAGATCTCGTGTCACAAAAGTCACGTATATCTGCATTATGTATTTGTACGGATTGGAGATATATAGACGAATTATACTAAAGCGGTAAGTCTCCAATGGCCTTTTGGCTTGGTTTTACAGTCTTATTGTAATATGTAAGAGCTTGGATATCTCATGAGTCTCACTTGCCATCATCTCGCCCTCCAAAATTAAAGAACAAATGGTGGGGAAAAATGCCCTTTAAAACACAGAAAAATAAGTAATCTTTAGCATAGGAATGGGCTTAACTCTATGTTTTCATTTGCCTATGCAAATAGTAATATTAGATGCATTAATCCTTATTCTATAGAGAACATTGACAATCATCTCAATGTTCTATTGTCTTGTGTGGATATTTATCATCCTCTTTCATCCCCTTTGTTTCCTCTATATTTGTTGTGTATATTATTGTTCCCTTTTGGGTGAATGTAGGTATCTTGTTCCTGCTGATTTGACTGTTGGCCAGTTTGTTTATGTGGTGCGGAAGAGAATCAAGCTGAGCCCAGAGAAGGCCATCTTCATTTTTGTTAAGAACATTTTACCACCAACTGGTAATATATATGGATTTTTTTTGTGGGTGTGTTTATGTGGTAATATATGTGGAATTTTTGTTATTTGTAATGGTTATTCTTCTTGTTAATTTTGTGAACTGAGCTGTGGTTTTTTGTTTATGCAGCGGCCATGATGTCTACAATTTATGAGGAAAATAAGGATGAAGATGGATTCCTGTACATGACTTACAGTGGGGAAAATACATTTGGGATGATGATCTGAAATAATTCGTGTCAGGCAACTATGTGAATAAAACTGTCTGAAATGTGAACAAGTCACAGCTTAATTGTAAATTCTCAGGTTTGATCTGTTTCTTGTAAAGTTTATTAACTGATTGATGTCAATCGTTGTGCGTACTGGAACTTATTTGAAAATTGCCTTATGTTTCTATCATTCTAAATTGCAAAAGTTTAAGGGTATGTTTATACTCGAGCGTTTTCTGATTTTCATTATTCTCCTTTTTTTTTTATTAATTCATCTTTTTTTTCTTTTTCTTTTTTTGGTGAGCATTAATTCATCTTCAATTTTATACCTTTTTGAAAAAGGAAAAAGAAGTATCCTTTTGAATAACACAAGCTTGTGTCATTTTAGGTGTTTTACACAAATTACGACCGGTCGTATTTTGTGTAAAACTGAAAAGTTGTTTTTCTTTTCTTTTTTCAGTCACATCGCTAACGTGTAAAGTGAAAAAAAGTAACTTTTCAGTATTATACAGAGTACGATCGGTTGTACTCTGTGTAAATCACTAAAAGGACACAACTTGTGTCCTTTTAAATGACACACACTAAATCTTTTTGAAAAACATGTATTATGGTTTACAGACATATTTTATGGTTTACAGACATATTTTCCGGTTCGACGAATAAAACCCTGATCGGACTGTTCGATTTGGGTCATAAAATTTTGTTTAAAATTCATCCGTATTCAAGTTTAACAAACTGTACAGAACAAAGATTGGAGAGCATGCATCGCAAAATTAAGGAGAGCAAGCATTGCAGAGCAAACATGTTATCAGTGATTTGATTACTGTACCTCATTTACCACGAAATAATTAGCTCAAAAAAAAGCTCTCCGTGAAATCTCAACTTGCAAGCTTCTCATTTAACAACACTATAATTCACCAAAATCAAATAATAGTTCTGATGTACCAAAAAAAATAAATAATAATAGTTCTGTTTGGAATATGCTTGTATAGGAAATTTGATTTTGTACTGTGTATAAATTAGAATTAATATTTGATGGACGGCCCCCCGAAAAATTCTTTTAAATAAAAGAATAAGTAAATTGTTACTTATAGTTTAATTGCTATCAGTTCACGTCTTCTGAGATAGTACTAATTGCCTAGCAGCTCTCGGTCTCTGGTCTAAACGAAGGTGAGAAAGTAGCATGATTTCTTTTCAATTCATTTATTAAGGTGACAGTTTGTCTTCTATTTGAGCCAGATAACTTATAGTGTAGCATTAGCGTATACCCAATAACTGGTAGTGTGTAATTATGTATACCTACCAGAGTTGAATCGGTTGGAAAAAAATATAAAAATCGAGTTGAATTGGTTGGAAAAAATAAAATAAAAATCGAGTTGAGTTGGATTAAGTTGAATTGAGAGAATTTTTTATTTATTTATAATTAATACGAACAACTTGTTAGTTCGAGTCTCACGATTGAGTTGACTTATATTATTTTAAAAAACAAATTATTAAAACGGTATCACTTTACATTAAATTTTTTAAAAATCGCTTTATATTAAAATATTAAAAAATTATTGTCATTGGGTTAGTTTAGATTGGATTTGGTTAAAAAATCAAAATCCAACATTCGAATCAATTAAATAAAAGTCGGGTTGAATTGGATAAAACAAAAAATCAACCTAATAGTAATCATTTAACTCAATTCACACGTTTAAAATTAACCTGGACCGAATTGATCGGTTCATTTACTCAAACTAAACATGATAAATGATCACGCCTGTTTGGCACAAACGGTGTAAAACTGTAAAATTTGTTCCTTAATCAATCACAGAAAGATAGAAAGATGGAGGGTAAAAATAATAAGATTCCACACTATTTTCTTTTTCTTTTTTCTATAGACAAATGAAAAACATAAAGCTATTCTGAATAGTTCCAATCCAAATTGGAAAGCAAAGCATAAGCATCATCCCTATGAAACAAACAAAACACTTTAACTAAGAGCAACAATGTATATGTTTTTTCTTTTTTTAGCAAAGCTATGAAATGAAACTGTGCAGTGACCATTGATTGACTTCACTTAGATGAAGTCCTTTTCTGGTACTGATTCTTGACCCATTTGATCCCAGCAAAGGTACCACTCTTAACCTTCTGGGCACCCACTACAGCAGCTACCTTAGCTTTATCAGCACCCACCAATGCTACTGCTTTGGCTTTGTCCATTCCTGCTGATGCTGCAGCTTTTGCATCTGCCATCTTCTTGTTACTACTACCATTACTCTTCTTCACCTTCTCACTCTCCTCATACCCCTCACTACCAAACCCACCAGTTCCCCATTGATCAGACCAACTTGGTGCCTTGCTCCCCATGATATATATATATATTTTTTTTTTGAACCTTCAGAAAATTTTAATTCTGATTACTACTAATCAGAGATTATAGACACCACATAATACACTAGCGCATTAAAAAGAAATCAACAAAAGGGGCCAAAAAGAAAAAAACATAAAATTAAAATCGCATCCTATAATCAATATGATCATTCAAAATTTCAACGCAAGAGAGAAATTAATAATTTTTGAGTTCCAATAGAAATAAATAATTGGGGTTTTGAATACTTGAAACTGTGAGAAGATTCAATCAATTATATTTATATTCTTTACATGACATCTCTTAATGAATTCAAAGCAAAGTTATTGACAAAAATTCATTTGTTTGCTCGATGTTTAAATAAATAACAGATTGCAATTACGGATCAAGATAAGAATCAGAAAGGTTCTTATGTATGTATGAATTTTTTTTTAATTTTTAATTTAATTTGATTTTTCTGTATCTACACATCGAAAGAAAGAGAGAACGTATAAAAGGACAAGAATCAGATTACAGACGCAGAAATCATGAACAGAAACATAGACACAAAGAGAGAGAGAGAGAGAGAGAGAGAGAGAGAGAGGGTACCTTGTGGTTGGTTGGTGAGAATGGAGGAGATCGCGATATGAGGTAAGAGTTGGCAACAACGATAGTGGGGTCGAACCCTTTTGATGTAAGTGGCGGTGGCGTCGAATGAAGGGAACTACAGGTCAATTTTGTACTCAGCTTTTAACTTTTACTTGCTCCACCGAACAAGCTCACTTTTTTTATTGAGTAAATACTTTTTTTAGTCCCTAACAAAAAATAAGGTCACCATTTTAGTCCTTTACAAAAATAAATTAGTAAGTTAGTCCCTAACAAATTCAAAGTGGACCCATTTAGTTGAAATCGTGGTCCCTCACAAATTCAAAAAAGACCCATATTAGTCCCTCAAAAGGACTAAAATGGGTCCACCTTGAATTTGTTAGGGACTAACTGACTAATTTATTTTTTAAAGGACTAAAGTGGGGATTGTGTTTTTTGTTAGGGATCAAAAAGGGTATTTACTCTTTTTTATAAAACAGGATCACTGTTATTTGAACTAAATTACTATGAGAAAAGTGTGTCATTTTAAAAGATGTAAATGTGTATTATTTTAAGAGAGAGATAGACATAAATAAAGGAAGAGAGAGAATTGACAAAAAAATAAAGGTGTGGGTCTCATCTCTTTATGAGAGTGAAAAAATATTAAGTTATGTCATTTAAAAGCATAAACACTTTTTCCTATAACTAAATCCCCTCACCATTTTGAAAAAATTCTAGTGGCTTAAACTCATTTTTTCAATTTTCAAATTTTTTATTTGTTTTAGTTTGATTTTTGATTTTTTTTAAAGATAAGTTTGAGCCCTTTTCTAATTACGTGATATAATTTATTAAAAAAAAAAAAGAATTGAAGTAATATATTTTTGGGTAATATTTCATGTAACATGATATAGAAAAACATTCTTACTCATACATCGTATATTATGTCAACATTTCTTTTGTTTTTCATTTTTTTTTTCATGATGAGTCCCACCAAAATTTGTTTGGGTAGGAAATTGGTTTTATATTATGTTACATAACATATGTATTTTCCTATATTTTTATTAAAAAGTGTTTCTTTTCTGATATAGAGGATAAATGTATCTTTTGTATTCCAAAATGATATCCTTTTAGATATTAGGGAAAAATATACATATTGTTTTAAAATTGAAATAATTTTATTTTATGTGACCTAAAAATACTAAATTCATTTTATTTAAATATATCTTTTAGTATATAAAAAAGTTTCAGATCATTTTTTTTAAACAACTTGGAATTATTTTTTACTACTGGGATTATTATGAAAATTCATAAGAAAATAAAAAGTAAAAAGGATTGACAACAATATTTTCTCTGCAGATAATATGAACAGATAAACTCAAGGGTCAATTTATTACCATCCAATAATTTCCAATTCTGAAAATCAAAGAAAACGCACAAGCAGTGCTGATATTAATGAAAGTTACATTTTCCTATCTAATTATATTTCCTAGATGTTTAATGCAAAACTCACATCACCTACCACCACTTCATGAGTCACCGGTTCAATTGACTCATTTGATTTGTTTTTTTATAAATTAAAGTAGATATATTGGATTGGGATTTTAATGAATTATTTTTTGATAAAAAAAAATTCTATTGATATTCAATTAGGATTTTAAAGGATTGAAAAAAAGTCATTTGTATTTGATTAGGATTTTAAAAGATTATTTTAGAGTTCATCCAAATTCAGTGGTATTCAATTAAGATTTTAAACAAAGTAAAAACAATCGTGTGATTTTCAAAAATCTAATGATTTTAGTGAATTTTCTATTGGTGTGGATTTCTTGCGACTTTTTAGTGAGAAACTTAAATAGAAGGCCTCTCTCACAATCTTATCCTAACCCTTAAGGGGCTTTTGATATATGAGATATTTTTTTCCCAAAAAAAAGATTTCCGGGAATATTTTGAGAAATATTTTTCCCGAGTAAGTTACGAAAAAGTGTTTGGTAAGCCAAAATTTTACTGAAAAAGTTGAGTTAATTTTACTGATGTTATGTTTGGTTGGTGTTAAAATATTGATGGGGTGTTATCAAAAAAAAAAATATATATTGATGGGAATCTAAACCAAAATGACAAAATCACCCATCATTTTTGAATCTTGAATCTCTTCTTAGTCATCAAACGTTCGTTTTACCACTGCATTTGTCTCCTTCTCTCCAGGTTCATTTCTTTCTATCCTAACATTTCCCTTCACCTCTCTTCACTTTTCAGTTCTGGGTTCCTTTTTTAATCCTCCTGAGATGAGAAGACATCTTGAGCACATCTCATGTTATCTCTAGAACAGAAGGCATTTCTGATGAGAGATTCCTCAGATAGGTTGGTTTGTGAGAACACTAATTTGTTACGGTCCTACCAAATCAACCAACAAATAATACCAAACAGAGTTGACCAACTACTTGCTGATATGTTTTTTCCAGGATCGGATATAAATTAATACGCGACCATTCCTTCGTAGGAGAAGAGAAAAGTCTAGATCTATTTTGCCCCTGCAGCACTATATTCCACACCATAGTCCCGGAAAATGTGAATGGTGGTTTCAGCATCTCTTAGACAACGAGGGCAGGTTAAGGATGAAGTCATGCTCTTGTGAAAACGTGTCTCCCGATTGCTGGAAAAAAAACAATACCATGGGTAATGTGGGATTCATTTTTGTCAATTAGTAGTTCAAAATGAGATTAATGGGAAACAAATTATACCGGGATTTTTTTACTCTTACTCATACCAAATATGGTAAGCAAATTTTCCCCACCCTACTTTCCCATCATTTCACCCACAATCTCTATATCAAACAGCCCTTAGGATTTTTTGAGATTTCTCTATTGCAATGTCTTCTTCTTCCTTTAATGGGTCGACCCGCTCGAAACCAAGTTTTGCGAAGGGAGTTTCGTCAAAGCTCAAAAACAACATATTTTGAGTGATTTTCATAATAAAACAACAAAGAAACAACAACCCAACAATGTTCTAATCAATGTTATGAAACTCGAACCAGTGATCGAACCGGTCGAGGTACTGGGTTAGTAGATTACTGGTTCAACCAGTGGGTCAGTGATTCAACCGCTTAAACCGGATAAATAAATATAAAATATATTTTATATTCAAAATTTTAAAAAAAAAATAATATAATCTAATATCTTTTATTATATTAAGATTTACAGCTAGAAAAAATTATAGTTATAATCTAATAAAACAATTTATTTAGTTATGTTTTTAAAGTGAATAAATACTAATAGTATAATATTGTAACAATATATTATAAAATATATATATATATATATTATAATCAATTATATAAGAAAAAGAAACCAGAATTTATTAAAAAAAGCACTCCGTGAATGAGTTCCCAGATTTGTGAAGGAAACGACTAAAGAATAATAAAGAAGAAGACAACAACAAAGAAGACAACTATGGCAGCTTTGTAGAGAAAATGGTTATAGATTTACTTGGGTGTTCTTGGTTCTTCTGTTCAAGATTCAATTTTTGGTGTTCGATGCTATGGATTGCACCTGCCATTAAAGAACAGACAGAAATGGGATGAAATAGAGAATGTTTGAGAAAGATGGTGAAGAATGAAGGGAACGAGAATTAGAAATTGAGGTTAGGGAAAACCACAGGGAGAAAAGAAGGTCATAGGAAGAAAAATTGTGAGAAAATCTGAAGCTTTTGCCTTTGTTTGCTTCACACCATCAAGACAAAATGTCAAGCATTGCCATGCCTTTACTCCATTTGTGAATTTTCTCTCTCCGTGCTTGCTTCACTCTGCCATTGTTATGGAAGACAAAGCTTAGCTAATGTTTTTGACCTCTTAATTTGGGTAACTCATTTGTTCGACAGGGCACAATGTGTGTCCGCAGGACTCACATGAGAGCTTAGCTAATGTTTTTGACCTCTTAAAAACCGCGTGTCCCGTTACAAAAGAAATAAAATTCGATCAACAGAAGCAATTAGGGGGCGTTTGGTACAGGAGAAATTTTTTTTTATCCGGAAAATAATTATTACTGAAATGTAGTTGGAAATATACTTTACTAGAATATTACTAAAAAGCTGTTTGGTAGATCCACATTTTCTCGGAAAAATTAAGTTAATTTTACTGAGTTTATGTTTGGTTGGTTATTAAATATTATTGCGAATGTTGGTCAATTTTACAAAAATAACCTTACTATTTTCGACTCTCTCTCTCACACTCTCAGACAACACACACAGAGGAACATTCATGGCTGCTGAGCTCCTTGATCAAGAGCTTGCTGCTGCTCCCAGATCTGTTGTGGTAATATGCTGAGCTTTGTTATTTCCATTCATACTGGCTTTGTCTTTCTTTGTTCCTTCTTTGTGTTTCCTTGTTTGTTTGGGGCTTTGCCCCTTTTGATATCAAAGAAAAAAAAATGGATGTTGTCACGATGGTCCAAAGCTGGTTCAGAAATGGGTGTTGATTATTTCTCTCATTACATTAGGATTTGACAAAAATGGTTGTTGCATTTGTTCAAGATCTGGAAAGCCCACTCCAAATAAGCCATTCTCACTGTTCGAGGCTAATCAGAATGGAAAACTATGGAGCAGCAAATGTTGATATTGACTCCATCGGAGGCTTTATGCTCCGTCGCACCCTCAGCTGCAGCGTCACCTCCCATGGCGTCCTCGTCCCAAGTAAGGGAGGTGAATCGAGTTTTGTCACGATGATGGCCATTGTAGATGGGAGGAGAGAGAAGGAATAGACTAAAACAGTACAAAGGAGAAGGGTTAATTTGGTCCACAAAATTTTGTTCTTTTTTCACTTCCCCAGGCAAAAAAGTATAACACCTAATCCATGGACTTCCTAACATGGTAGCTTTACCAAAATTTACACACAACACCAAAAACTGGCAAAATATATTACCCGAGAAAGTTTTCTATTTTTACCTACCAAACGTGTCATTATAAGTCTCCATACCATACTTTCCAAGGAACTCAAAAATAATCGGGGTACCAAACGCCCCCTTAATGGTCAATGAACTAATTCAGATTAGCCTGCCCTACACAGATATACCGGTGTTATCTCCAATAATTTCTCTCTTCGTGCTTGCTTCACGCTGC